CCTGAGGAGGTAATCAAAGGCACCAGTCTGTTAAGCGAAGGGGATGAATAGGTGCATTTCCCCTGAAAGGGTGCTCTAACAGACAGGGGCAGAGGCAATGCCTGGCATTACTCCTTACGCATACACTCTCAGAGACAGACCACCTGCCTAAGGGAGATCAGCAGTAAATGTGCTTTCTCCATGAGCCTGTGATCTTCAAAGGTATTTTGCCTCCTGAGACACATTACCCACCTGAATTTTAACTGAGGTTGGATGACTTTGTGCCAGACCAAAGCAAGGCTGTGGATTAAAGAAAAACAAACAAACCAAAGCCCCACTGCAGATCCTGCTGAGATCTACCCGATACTCCCTTTTGCAAACTAGCCTGATGATTTAAAAAGCAGGAAAGGTTAATGATAAGTATGTGCAGAAGATTTTAATCCTTCTGAAATATAATGGAAATAATGAGGATTGCAATACTCACTCAAATGTTATAATGCCCTATAAATCCTTTGTATAGTATAATGTACTCTGTCTAATCTGGAAGATATTTCTAAAATGGTAACATTTTAATTTAGTGAATTATGTAGAACAATGTGCTCCAAGGATACATTTGGACCAAAAAAGACTAGAGGAGAAAGGCAAAAACTGAAATATGGGAATGTGTACTGTGGGTTGGGAGAAAACGAAGAACTGTTGTCAAGGTTCCTTCCCCACTTTCAACTCTAGGGTACAGATGAAAACCTCCTAAGCTTACTTTTACCAGCTTAGGTTAAAACTTCCCCAAGGTACAAACTATTTTACCTTTTGCCTTTGGACTTTCACTGCCACCATCAAACATCTAACCGGGTTTATTTTATTGGGAAAGAGCCCGTTTGGGAAACGTCTTTTACCCCCAAAATCCTCACCCAAACCTTGCACCCCCTTTCCTGGGGAAGGTTTGATAAAAATCCTCCCCAATTTGCTTAGGTGACCACAGACCCAAACCCTTGGATCTTAAGAACAATGAAAAAAGCATTCAGTTTCTTAAAAGAAGAATTTTAATAGAAGTAAAAAGAATCACCTCTGTAAAATCAGGATGGTAAATCCCTTACAGGGTAATTAGATTCAAAACACAGAGAATCCCTCTGGGCAAAATCTTAAATTACAAAAAGGCACAAAGGTAGGAATATCCATTCCATTCAGCACAGCTTATTTTCTCAGCCATTTAAACAAACAGAATCTAACGCATATCTAGCTAGATTACTTACTAAGTTTTAAGACTCGATTCCTGTTCTGACCCCGGCCAAAAGCATCACACAGACAGACCCAGACCCTTTGTTTCTCCAGCCCCCTCCAGCTTTGAAAGTATCTTGTCTCCTCATTGGTCATTGTGGTCAGGTGCCAGTGAGGTTATCCTAGCTTCTTAACCCTTTACAGGTGAAAGGGTTTTTCCTCTGGCCAGGACTGTAAATTAGGTAGTCATTTTATTGATGTAATTTTTTTTTATAATTATGTGCCATCTAGGATTGTAATGAACACTAGTAATCAGTAGGAATGGATTTGAACTAGCCAGAAGACATTTGCATATTATCCACATAACAAGGAAAATTAAGATTGAAGTAATAATAGAAGAGTGGAGTCAGAGCTGCTTATAAATACAGAAAAGCATGAGGTTCACCCCACCTGGGAAACAGTGCAGAGATCTGAGAGAACCAGGTTGCCTGGGGTGAATTTTTAATATTCTAATCAGGAACTATTGATTAAGAAATTAACTAAACCCAGGGAATTCTATCCCTGATTGTCTTCCAGAGGTAGAAACCCCTAGAAAGTTTGCTCATTTTGTCAGTTGCAATAGGGGAAGAGCTTATGCCCTGGACAGTCTGCTCACAGAGCCCATTGTGGTCTTCAGTGAAGTGGTGTCTCAAGTATAATGCTTAAAGCATGATTCAAAGTAATATTGAGGGTACACAGTGAGCCCCTTCCTAGCTCAGAGAGAGTGACTGGAGTAGATAATTATCCAATGTAACATAAGCAGCAAGAACATTAAAGCAGATTTATGAAAAAAGTTGCAAATCAGAAAGAATGACCCTGGCTACATTTTATACTGTAGTAGTGCCATGAGTTTGGTACAGCTATGGTTGTAGAAAATTTCATTTTTGGGTATGCAAGGTATTGTGAAGTTACCGCATCATCAACATATGCAGTGGAAGAATTTGACATGGTGAAGAATTATGACCTAATGTAAGTAATCGCTACCATTAATAATTTATACTTAGGCATAGGGCAGGCTTGTCTGCCAAGGCTATGGTGATCAATTAGTTAAGAGCCATTATATTTGCCTGGAAGTTATCAATATATAATGCTCACCTACAATTGATTTCATTGGACTACTCATGTGAGTACAGCTACCCACATGCTTAAGTGTTTTCAGGATCTGGTGGCTAGACATCAGCCTTTTGCTAATTAGTTGATATGACTGAATAATATTAGCCAAGAACAGTCCAATTTTGCCCTTTTTCCAAGAATTGCCATAGACAGGCTTATTTTTCTACAATTTATATTTTTGGGGCAAAGACTGTTTTTGTAAGCATTTGAGCTAGGCACTATACAACAAGGTTCTCCTCTGACTGGAATCTTTCTGATATTAACTCACCTACCTCGTCTCTCTGAAACCTTTGAGAGCGGACATAATGCCAATATTAATGTATCTGTTAGCCAATCAGAGAACAAAAAACATAACATAGCATCATTATCAACTCAAAATGGATCAACATTTCTGAATATCAAATATTTGCTACAATCTGTCTATAATAATCCGCAGACCAAGAATTATTTCCAGAAATTATTCAGCAAATGTGGCTGAGGGTGTTTTCCAGTCAGAATACTTTTGTAGATTCAAAATTAAAGTTCTGCAAAAAAAATGTCAATGTTTGCTTAACATTTGCTCCTTCCCTCCAACATTCCTGCCCATAGACTCATTAACAAGTATATTCTCAAAAAGCAAGCACACACACAAAAAGGAGTTAACAGACTCAAGGTAAATTTGTTTAAAAAATGAAACAATGTAGCCACACACTTTTCTTGCAATATTCACCCAGCTGTACTACTCAATCCCAGAATGTGTGAGATGGTTCTTATTATGTTAAAAGAATCTTCTTACAGGACATTAAAAATGCAGCACTCTAAAATGCAAAATAAAACAAATGGCATATTGAATTGTTTGCAAGCAATTCAGAATGTTTATTACTGAAAAGTTAGTACTTCTGTAATCAAAATCTATCCTAATTTGCCAAGGTGTCAGTGCAGAAAAGACACTGTGCATTCTAGGTGTCCAATACTGCATATGCTTTTTCTAAGATCTAACATTCAGCTCTCTTTACTTTTCATCATACTCCAAGTCTTTGCTTTCTCCCTTTCCTTCCCTCCAATAGAAATCAGTTTTGAAAAGTTAGCATAACTATGGATATAACAGGCACCTTGTTTTGTTTTATGCTCATAGAAATTGAAACTAATTGTTGTTGGTTTCTTCTTCGCATATTTGGTTTCTATTCTTCATGTATTTACTGAGACATTTAATCCTTACCCTCAGGAAAATAAACAGAAACAAGCAGGTGATCAGGATGGTATTCAGAATAAATAGTACATAAAAAACAAACAAATGCATATGCAAACCCAGGCGAGTTTACTTTACAGGTGGAAGAGAGTATTAATGCCATTCTATTACTTTTGAAAATTGTAGTCATTTATAAAAAGCACTTAAGTGATTTAAGAGCCTGCAATCCATTAACTTTTAATTGGAAGCTGGTTTCCAAGTTACTTAAGCACTTTTGGACTTTTTACCCAATATCAATGAAGGAATGTCACATATAAAAGCACAGATTGGGAAGAACTGGGAAGCAGGGGGGAAAAAAACAAAAACAAACAAAAAACCTACCAATGTTCCTGATGAGAATGTTTCAAAGAAATTGAACAAGTTTTCTTTTCCTCTCCACCATTCGTAGGGATTTCCAGGGAAGTATAGAAGCAGGTGAGGGCTCCGTGTGATTTTTTTGGATGCCTGAACTACATGTGAATCAATAGCAGGCAATATCAGATTTTTCTTTTCCATGACAGGCATTCTTTTTGTTTAATATACAATTCTGCTGAGATTGATACATGATGAAACTAGTAGAGGGTCAGAAAGTTTCTTGAATAAGTATTGACCAAGGTTATTTAAAGAAGAATAAGTCCACTACCTCAATACACCAAAAAGCACTTACACTTTATCTCACCTGATCTAGGCCCAGATCTGAGCCCTGATACATTTGCAGCAAAAACTCAGCTGAAGCCTCATGACCCTGCCAGGCTCCATGGTCTTAGAATCCTCTACAGAGTCCAGCAATTAACCTCTCCCTAAGGCTGACTGCATGACAGTTATGTAGCCATCAAACTTAATTCTGGTCCCCTGGCGCACAGTTGCTAACTTTACTCCCCACCCTGGTGCAGATGGATGACACCAGCAAAGGCAATGCATCCCTGATGACCCAATAGGGGGATGGGATTTTCTGAGTGACAATTAGTAGAAAACAGCTTGGGTCCAGCAGCATGGAAACCTTCCTCATTACAACTTCATAAGGGCAGTCAGCTGAAGAGAACTGCAGCCCAGCTGGATGAAACTCCACCTTAGACAATGAAGGATCAGGGATAAAGGCAAAGTCTAACACACGCTCCTCAAACCTGCCTGCTGCTGAGGCATTATCTGCTAGTCATAGAACCCCAGGCGCTGTTGCCCTGGGGGGAGGTGAAAGTGGGTAGGTAGCCTGGGCCTCGCGACAGCGGCTGGAGCCCCGGGCCCTTTACATCGCGGCCCGCGGGCTGGACAGCGTGGAAGGGCCGCCTGGGGGAAACTGACCCCCCCCCAGCCCCGCCCCGCCCCCTTCGCGCCCGAGGCCCCGCCCACAGCGAAAGGCTGCTGATCGTCCTGGAGCTTCATCTCGCTGGCCAGGAGTTTTCTTCCCGCAGGGGCAGTTTGCAGCTATGATTTTGAAAATGAATTCTAGCCGAGTGCTTGGTGGTTTTGTTCTCCTGTGTAAAAGGTGAGTTTGCACCGGCTGTTTGCTGTTTCAGGCTGGCTTTGCTTAAAAGGGCACTGAAAGCGTTTAAAACTGTGGTAGATTGTTAATACTCATTCCTTGAGCCTAGACAAGGGTGATGGCGATCTTAACAGGGTGCTGGTTAGGCCCATTTATGCTACAATGATAATTGACTCAGTGACCCAGTTCCAATAGGGCTATAATTTTCAAGGTGCATGGGACCTATGACTGCATCGTCCCAGGGTTTCACCCAGTTATCAGAATTTGGGGTGGTGTCCACACTGCATTGTAAGCCTGTCCCCTGACTCAGTTATAGTTGAGGAGCAAGTTATTACCAGTATGTTTTAAATTATTCCTTTAATAGTGCTTTTCATATAGAAATGTGAAAGCACAATTAAAGGTGACTGATCCCATCTCTGCCACACATCATCTACTTAAAGCTAAATAGGGTAGCTTGGGGCAGGATGGATGATCTGATAAAAAATGCTTAGATCTTACTTAAATATCATGGGCCACATTCTTCCCTGGTTTAACGCTACTAAAATCAGAGATGAATCTGGCCTCTTGTCCCTAGGAGCATTATCGCTGTTGCCACAGCGAGTGCAGTACAAATAAACAAATCATTTAAAGAGTGTTACACAGCCCTCTGAACTGTAGCTAGCCCTTATGAAGCTGCAAAGAGCAGATATTTGGGAAACTGGCAATGGGACCTTTAGAGTAAAATCCTAGTCCTGATCCTTAGCCATTGACTTTAGTAGAGCCAGGATTTCACCCTAAAACTCTTAGGACCTGATCCTGCAAAGTTGTCAGCACTCAGTCCCCAGTCCAGGCAAAGTGCTTAAATACATGCTTCACTTAAGGATGTGAGTAGTCCCACTGACTTCAAAAGAACTATTCATGTGCTTAGATTGAAGCATGTACTCAAATGCTTTGCTATTGGGGGCACAGTGTTCAGCTCCTTGTAGGATTGAGCCCTCATTGTTAAGCACATGGCCTCACTTTTCCCATTGGTAAAATGGAGATAACAATATCTACCATCCTTTGCAAAGTGCTTTAAGATCTCTTGGCTATTATTATTTTATTTAGCTTTCAGTCTGGGGGAAGCCACAACCGGAGTTTGCTATTATAATATTTATAATAATAGTTTGTAAACGGTTTTAGTTTCAAGTTAACAATCCTTTATCTGACATGTATTAATACAGCATGGAGTTTTTCCTACTGCCCTCAATGAAGCTGTTGCATTTTTTTTGTAACCCTATTCAAGAGCAACTTCACTGTGCATCATGTAGACCCATTGCTCTTTTCTAGTAACAAACATTTTATTAAAGGGAAACAGAACTGTTGACTATGCAAGTATTTTTTGCACAGGAATATTAACAGAAAGGATGATAAATAAATGATCATATAGTAGGGTGGAGTCAGTCTAGGTTGTAAGTTACATTAAGTACATACATGTTGGTATTATTTCTAGTTATAGCAATTATTTTTTAAAACTTTGATCTAAAAATTAAGTTGCGATTTTGGCTTATAGATTAGAACAGGTAGTAGTGGATTCAGTACACAAGAACCATTCATGAATGACAGGAATAAATCCAACAGTAGATCATTTATGATGGCTGTTTAATGTTTTCTATGTACAAGGACTAGATAAATAAGGGATATATTCTTGCTATGGACTTAAAACAGACTCTTGATTTCCTTGAAGGCTCTATTTATTTAAAATGTTTGAAACTTTAAAAGTGACTATTTCTTTTCTCAGATGGGTAAAGTACTATCAGTGCAGCTCTTTTTAGTTCACTGCACATGAATCATCCCATCCTCTTTGCGACTGCAACTGATCAGTTTGTAGCTAAATTCTGATTGCTGTGTCCTTTGTAGAGTATTTCAATTGGCACTATCAAAAAATGTTGTTTCATTGTCTATACAGAGGACTTAATGTTTGTTTGTGAGGCTCAGACTTCTGTTCCAATTATTTGGGAGACCAAGTAAACTTTTAAAGACCTATCAGGATTGTCTGTCAATTGGAATACTATTAAGCTTTCCTTCCTCAAGATTTTGATCAACTTTTCCCTCATCTACACATGCAAAATATAAATGATAGAATATGCAATACAAATAATAATGAATAGTAATAACTCTAAATATCTGGGAGTAATTCTGAGGAGTAGCAAGTATCTGAATTACATTTTTTTTCTTTGTCAAAAATGCTGCAGGTTTTACAAAGGGCTTTGTTGCTCCTGTTAATACTTACTGGGAGAAGGAATATTATTAAAATAGTTACACTTCCAAGAGTGAGTGATTTCAGAATGTTCCATTAGAAATGGATTTTAGTAAGGCGTTTGATACTGTGCCACACAGGGAATTATTAGTTAAATTGGAAAAGATAGGGATCTATATGAAAATTGAAAGGTGGATAAGGAATTGGTTAACAGGGAGACTACAGCAGGTCATACTGAAAGGTGAACTATCAGGCTGGAGGGAGGTTACCAGTGGAGTTCCTCAGGGATTGGTTTTGGGACCAGTCTTATTTAATCTTTTTATTACTGACCTCGGCACAAAAAGTGGGAGTGTGCTAATAAAGTTTGTGGATGATACAAAGCTGGGAGGTATTGCCAATTTAGAGAGAGACCAGGATATCAGACAGGAAGATCTGGATTACCTTGTAAACTGGAGTAATAGTAATAGGATGAAATTTAATAGTGAGAAGTGTAAGGTCATGCATTTTGGGATTAATAACAAGAATTTTAGTTATAAGCTGGGGATGCATCAATTAGAAGTAATGAAGGAGGAGAAGGACCTTGGAGTATTGGTTGATCACAGGATGACTATGAGCCGCCAATGTGATATGGCGGTGAAAAAAGCTAATGCAGTCTTGGGATGCATCAGGCCAGGTATTTCCAGTAGAGATAAGGAGGTTTTAGTACCGTTATATAGGCACTGGTGAGACCTCACCTGGAATACTGTGTGCAGTTCTGGTCTCCCATGTTTAAGAAGGATGAATTCAAACTGGAACAGGTACAGAGAAGGGCTACTAGGATGATCTGAGGAATGGAAAGCCTGTCTTATGAAAGGAGACTCAAGGAGCTTGGCTTGTTTAGCCTAACCAAAAGAAGGTTGAGGGGAGATATGATTGTTCCCTATAAATATATCAGAGGGATAAATACCAGAGAGGGAGAGGAATTATTGAAACTCAGTACCAATGTGGACACAAGAACAAATGGATATAAACTGGTCATCGGGAAGTTTAAACTAGAAATTAGATGAAGGTTTCTAACCATCAGAGGACTGAACTTTTGGAATAGCCTTCCAAGGGAAGCAGTGGGGGCAAAAGACCTATCTGGCTTTAAGATTAAACTCGATAAGTTTATGGAGGAGATGGTATGATGGGATAACATGATTTTGGCAATTAATTGATCTTTAAATAGTCATGGTAAATTGGCCCAATGGCCTGTGATAGGATGTTAGATGGGGTGGGATCTGAGTTACTACAGAGAATTCTTTCCTGGGTATCTGGCGGGTGAATCTTGCCCATATGCTCAGAGTTCAGCTGATCACCATATTTGGGGTTGGGAAGGAATTTCCTCCAGGCAGATTGGAAAAGGCCCTGAAGGTTGTTCGCCTTCCTCTGTAGCATGAGAAACAGGTCACTTGCTGGAGGATTCTCTGCTCCTTGAAGTCTTTAAACCACAATTTGAGAACTTCAATAGCTCAGACATAGGTGAGAGGTTTATCGCAGGAGTGGGTGGGTGAGATTCTGTGGCCTGCATTGTGCAGGAGGTCAGACTAGATGATCATAACGGTCCCTTCTGACCTTAATATCTATGAATCTATGAAATGCCGAATGCTTTTTAAGAAACTTGATAGCTCAATAATAGCTTCCCTTTGTGCTGGTGGATGCATTGCATGAAACTCTTCATCCTCTCACAGGCTCTACTGGGCTATCCCTTTCACATTTCTCTAATTATTTTGCTGCCCAAGCATGATAGTCTATTTTTTTTATTTGACTCCAATATTACTATTACACAAAACAGCAATTAGTTTTCAGTTTTCCTTGCTGTGATGTGTTTTATCATATCCTAGATCTAATGAAAACTTTATAATAAAGGTTTATATATTATAATAGAAGATTTATAAACGTAGTTTCTCTCTATGGGGAAAAGAACTTACACTGTGTAAAAATAATTCAGCGTAGCTCACCATGCCTACCAGTATAGCTTTATCCCATATATTAGAGGGGAATTAATTTCGCAAATGGAAGATTGAATAATCCCTGGTTATGAATGAAAGTTTTGCTGTTAATGAATTTATTTTATTTAAAATTTACAAGCATGTATTTAACCTGTCTTATAGTTTCAATATTATTTATCAACGTGCTTATTCAGTACGGACTAAGAATCTACACAAATGTTTTGTGTGGAGTCAGCTTCTCATTTGAAGTCACCTTCAGGCAAAAATCTGTGCTCTAAAAACCCAATCTGCTATTACTCTTCAGAGGCTGTGATTTTTAGCTTTAGATTCAGTTTGAGATAAATGGGCATGAGTTCTTGTGACAGAACATACCATGGGAAGATAAATGCTGCTTTATACGTAACAACATGAATAAGGCTAAACAGCCTGTACCTTTCTTAGTAATACCAATATTTAGCCCTTATGTGACACCTAACATCTTCAAGTGCTGAACAACCACTTGCAGTAGCACCCTTGTGAACTGGGTATTATCCGTTTTGCGCAAAAGTAACTGAAGTCAAAGGTGACTTGAAAAGGGAAAAACCTGCCTTTGGGCCTGTGTTTATCAGGTGATAGTACCCATGAAATAGAGCTCTTGGAGGGAATGTATCTTGTGGTCACAGCAGTGCGGAAGGCAGGACTTCTGGATCCTACTCCCACCTCTGTCACTCACTCACTCACTGTGTGACCTCAGGCAAGTTGCTTAAGCCAAAATTTTGAAAAGCGACTAAGGATTTTCAGTGTTCAACTTGGACACATTAAAGGAGGCTGATTTTTCGGAAATCGCTGAGCAACTGGTCTTTAACCTGTCTCAAGTTTAAATTAAGGCATTCAAGATCAATGGTCACTTGAAAAGTTTGGCCACAGGTTTGAATCATCAGAAGTATTTTGAGTAATTTTGGCTGCCTCAGCTGGGGGTGCCCATCTTGAGGCATATACAATACAACCTGATTTGCAGAGGAAATGCGCCCTCACAAGCCTTATTGACTTGGAGCAGCAGGTGCTCAGTGCCTTTGAAAACCAGGCCCAAGGGGTCTTAAAATGACCACCCCCAAAACCAAGGCATCCCTAAGTGCACTTCTGAAAACTTGGCCTTTAACTACTCTGTGTTCAGAATTAAAATGCAGGGTTGGGAGGCTTAACTAACTAATGTTTGGGAGCTGCTTTGAGGGCCTGAGATGAAGCAGCTATATAAATGCCCACCCTTATTTATGAGGGGTTCTTTGGGAAATAAGGGAAAAGTGGGGCATTTAACTTTGTGAACAAGTTATTTAATGCTGCAGTGTCTACTCTTAACTCTCATCCATAGATGCTTTGGACAGACACTAATCGGGCTGTATTGTTCTTCCCCTATTTGAAGGTTCTGCAAACGAAGCCCATAAAGCGTATGGTGTTCTGGGTGGTTCTGTTTTCTTGAACGTTCCTGACTTCAAAGTGGAAAAGCAACATGAAATAACATGGCTTAAAAATGCATCATTCCTCGTGAAAGTCAAAAATTCTACAGTGAAATATTACAGGGAAAGGGAAAAGTATATGATGTTCCTTAATGGAACCCTGCAAATAGACCGCCTGGTGGAAGAGGACAGGGGGAAATTACATAGTGACCGTGTACAATGACAAGGGACAGCCGCAAGTGAAGAAGAGCTTAAATCTGAGCTTTCAGGGTGAGTCACCTTCCACATCCTTCCCACCATAGCTGGATGAGTCCCAGTCTCTCCTTCTGCTGAATGGGTCTCCATCCTGTTTCCTTGTGGTCTCTAACTTTGCTGCGTGGGCTCCTTTTCACTGAAGGGCTAGCTCTTCTGCGTCTATTCCCTTTCTCTGTTCTTGGGTGGGTTCCTCCTTTTCCTCTCTTGCCAGGTGAGTCTCCCTGTTTCCTTCTTTCCCTCTGTTCAGTCCCTCTGCTGTCTGATTTCTTCTCTCTCACATCAGCCACGAACTCTGCCAGGCAAACAGGCCTGCACCGGTATCTATGAACAACGGAAGAAGTTAGCTCAGGTTACACTGAGCCTTTCTTTTGCTACACAAAATATCCAGGAATCCAGGTTTTTATATATACTTTTGGGAGGGATGGAAGGCTGGGGTCTAACTTGGGGCGGGCGGGGGGAGAAAGGTAGTAGGACCCTTCCAAGCTCCTCCTACAAATTAATAATCCACTTGAGACATCAAATTGAGATGCCACTCGTGATGGATTGTGGAGATGTTTGAACTGTTTGCACGCTCTGCTGGGCTCACCTCCCCTAACTGGGGTTCAAATATACCCATGGACTCAGCTAGGCTCCTTAAGCTTGTGTTCTCCTCCATAAGACACACATTTTGGAGCCCAAAAAGACCGCTCAGGAGAGTGCTGGTACGCATGCTGCTGCCCAATTCAAGCCCTGATTTCACAACAGACAGTGAAACCTTTCTTAAGCATCCATTCAAGGGACTGATACCTCTAGGTTGTTTGACCAGTGGGATGTGGAGCAGAACTGTGCTCTGTACATTTGGAATACTTAAGCAGTCTCCTAGAACAGGAGGCTGCTGAAAAAAGCCTGAGATCTTGCACAAATTTCTGTAACATGAAGGTTTCAGAGTAACAGCCGTGTTAGTCTGTATTCGCAAAAAGAAAAGGAGTACTTGTGGCACCTTAGAGACTAACCAATTTATTTGAGCATAAGCTTTCGTGAGCTACAGCTCACTTCATTGGATGCATACTGAAGTGAGCTGTAGCTCACGAAAGCTTATGCTCAAATAAATTGGTTAGTCTCTAAGGTGCCACAAGTCCTCCTTTTCTTTTTGTAACATGAAGATTTTGATAGCTATGGCAGGCAGGGATGTAATTGTTTTGTTTGTTTGTTTTTACTGACATAGATTTTCTAGTTTTTTCTGGTGCCCAAAACTGAATGCAGAGTTGCAGATGTAGTCATGCCAGAGCTGCATAGAAGGAGACTATTGTCTCTTTGCTCTATGATGTAAAGCCTTCATGTAATTTCCCCCTCCCCCACCTCATACCTCCCATGCCAACTCCTCCCTGTATCACATAGCGTCTTTCCCATAGTAACTGCAATGTGTGTTTGCTTATGGCCTCCTGTATGGAAGACAGCAAATACTGCGATCTCCCTACATCCCAACTAACCACCTTAGTGTTCACACCTCAACTGCTATAAGAGGGCCTCATCCTCCCTGATTGAACTAACCTCGTCATCCATAGCCTGATTCTTGCTTGCATATTTATACCTGTCTCTGGAAATTTCCACTACGTGCATCCGACGAAGTGGGTATTCACCCACGAAAGCTTATACTCCAATATGTCTGTTAGTCTATAAGGTGCCACAGGACTCTTTGCCACTTTTACAGATCCAGACTAACATGGCTACCCCTCTGATACTTGACACCTTAGTGTCTGAGAGCCTGCATAGTATCTGAGGTATTTGTGGGTGGAGATAGAGCAGCAGTTGAAGTTTTGCCCTCCTTGGCTCTTCCCCCTGCTCTGAGCTCAGTTTCCCACACACAGATCTAGGTGGAGGTGTTACATCTTTGAACAAGGTAATATAGCTACAGCTCTGGGTCCTCTCCCTGGTTGCTAATGAGCAGCCACCGCAGCTAGTGCCAACTCTGCTCTGGAAACAGAGAAGGAGGTGGTCAGTGGAGCCTGCAAGTTGACTCCAGGCTCTGTATGGATGGAATAGCATTCCTGAATCCATGGGCCCCTGAGAGCAGTGTTGTGGGGAGGGTTTGCAGGATCCCCTAACTCCTCCTACCAGATAGGATGATGCAGCAAAAATTTTGCAGGGGGAAACTGGTAGTTTGCTCCTCCCTTCGGCCATGCCTGAGGGGGTTCTCCATGAACTAGAGCAGTGATATTCAGACCTCAGTGGTTCAGGAGCCAAATTAGTGACCAACATCACCCAAAAGAGCCACAGTAGTGTGAATTCCTTGTTTCATTTACTATAGTACTATTCATATTCAAACAGTATGATGGGAAATATTGTGTGTATGTATATATACTATTCTCGCAGCAAATAAGGTAGTGCATGTTGATAATTGGTTAATAACACAGTAAAAGCATCTTGATTGGTTAATAACTAAACCACTCAGTGTTTTAATATCGCGTGCTACAAGGAGCTGCAGGAAATATATTAAAGAACCTTTTGCAGCTCCTGAGCCACAGTCTACTGAGGTTATGTCTACACTGGCACTTTTGTTAAAACTATTGGGGCTCATGGGTGTGAACCTCCATCCCACCCCCAACGTCCACACGTTGTTAAAATGTGTGCCAGCGTGGCATCATCTGGAGCTGCTCTCCTGGCAACGAAGTTACCACCCCTCAGGGGCGGGGGGGCGGTTATTTTGTCACCAGGAGAGCTCTCTCCCGCCAATAAAGGGTGGCTATACAGCGCACCTTACAACAGCATGACTACAGCGGCAGGGTCACACCATTGTAAGGTGCACAATGTAAACATAGCCTGAGCTAGAATGGTGTGGCCCCTTGTGTTTCAAAACTGAATAGAACAAAGGGACTGGGATTCTCTCTCTAAATAAACAATGAAATGTTATCTCCAGAAGAAAAACTCTACAGATCTGTAGGGAGGGAACAGAGAGGAAAGTGATAATGAGTCATAAAGGTAATAAGCTTTTTATAAAAAAAACAAGAATGCAGACCAGTGTTGTGCTGGCCTTTTCTTTGCTGCTGTCCCATCACATCCCCCCTTGGGTCTAATTTGCGGTTTGCTCTCAGGCATTGCTACTTTCCCACTTTCTCTTTCACTGAATATATATGTTCCTTTCACAGGATCATTTTGTTATGTTCTGCCCATGCCTCTAAAATCCTTCTAGGTTCCTTTCTATTATTCTGTGGATTTTGCCATTTCTAATAATGAACTTTTTAAAATTAGAAAGCTTCACAGACTACCTCTTGTATTCTCTTTCAGAAATTGTCTCTAAACCAGAAATCAAATGGATATGTTCACAAAAATTAATAAAGGTGATATGTGAGGTGAGTCAGAAGAATAAACCTGCTTTGCATTTGCTTCAAAGTAAAACAAGGCTTGCAAATGAGCCAAAATATGCAAATGGCATATGGAAGATTGACTATCAACCCAAGAACACAATCCTTACTGCAGAGTTCCAGTGTGAAGTTAAAAATGATGTTAGCAAGAAAACTGATGCTCAGGAAATCATATGTTTAGGTATAAAGTCTATATTGTGAAAAGGTATCCTAACCACAGCCCACAAACAGTTACAAACATACAGTTGTCTCCAGGGTCCTGATTCTAAAACCAGTGTCAGCCCAATAAAATAACTGAGGGAACGAACGTGCAATAGGTTTTATGCAGTACTACACAGCAGGAAGCAAAAAAACAAAACCCTTTTTTTTCAGTTGTTATTCTTTATTATTTCTACAGCACCAACAGTATCCATTGCACTGCACAGACAATTACAACTTCAGGGGTCATTTTAGTTGGATAGAATAAAATTACCCAAGTTGAAAATTGGTCAGGACATCTGTTAACACCCTATGTTGCCAAAGAATGGGCCTGATTCTTCTCTCTTAATCCCGATTTACACTGTACCCCTATGTGACTCAATGGGCGTCAATGGACTTGCTCTTGATTTACACCAGTGTAAGGCTATGACCACAGCACAGGTGCTACCATGGCATAGCTGTAGCGTTGCAGCTGCGCACTGTAGGGTAATGGTGTAGATGTTTCCTACAGTGCCCAAAGGGTTTTTTCCATCCCTGTATTTAATCCATCTCTCTGAAAGGCAGCAGTGAGGTTGACAAAAGAATTTTTCCATCGACCTAGACGCGTCTACACTGGGGGTTAGGTCGGCTTGGCTATGGTGCTTAAGGCACAAAATTTTTCATGAGCACGAGTGACATATTTAGGTCAGTCTAATGTTTAAAAAGTTAGGTTGCCCCAGCTTTGGCGCTCAGAGGATTTACCCCCCACTATAGACAACGCTAGGTTGACGGAAGAATACTTCCATCGACCGAGCTACCCTGGCCGATGGGAGAACCCTTCCCGTCAATGTAGGTACTGCTCACAGTGCTGCAGCTGTGCCGTTGTCGTGTTTCAAGTGTGGGCAAGCCCCAAGTGATAGGAGAATTAGATGCAAAGAAGTCTTGATCTTTTCTAACCTTGTATCTACAAAGTCAGGGGTGCCACACTGGCAGATGGATTCTTTTGATAAAAAAAGTGGATGTCCTGATGGTGCTATTTAACATGTGCATATAAAGCATGGACTTCCTTTACAGTGAGCTTTTGGGAAATTAGCCATGTTTTAGGAGTTGATCATCTTAAATGAGCAATCAAGTAGGTTAGGCCTCGGGGTACATTTTCTTAAAGGAAAAAAGGTTTTACAAAACTTGCTCTTCATAGAAATGTTTTCATGAAACTTTAGGGGGGAAAAGTCACTAGAAATTTATTTGTTTGAACTTGTTGCCGGCACCCAGTGCCGAGAGGCTGAACAACAGCTTGAGTTGGTTCGTTACCCGGTGTGCTACACCCAATAATCACAACAGGGTGGAGAAGCAGAAAAGTTTATTTGCAGCTGCAAAAAGGTACAGGGAGAATAAAATCTCAAATCCTGCACACAGAGCAGGAAGTTACACAGGCTTTTATACATCCTTTTTCCCAGCATACTTATCCAATAGCAAGCTGCCCCAAGTATCCATATAGCCAGCCAATCCAGTTCCCAGCTAGTTCCCTGATTCTCTGTATCATTTGTTAAACTATACATAAAGCTGCTTTATTCAGCATTGTTCTTCCATATCTCCCCTGTTTGGCCTTGCTTAGTTTCAGGCAGTCTGACTCTGCAACATATTGTTGCAGATTCTCAGCATAACTGCTGTGTGTGCCTCCAGGCGGGGGGGCCAAGGACACTTGGGCCTAGTACGCAGAGCTGCTGCGAGTGCCTCCAGGCAGGAGGGGGGGCCAAGGACACCTGGGCCTAGTGCGAGGGGGTTTCATCGACACTTGTGGTCTTCCCCTCGAGTTACCCAGTGTCCCCAACAAACTGAAACAGTGTCCTGCAGTGTTGGAGAGGCAAGCCCAGCCGCATTAGGCTAGTGTGCAATCAGTGAAACACACCTGAAACTGACCAGTCTTTTCTTTAATTTTCCATCTTTGGTAAAATGCAAGAAGTCAACAACTTAAAAATTAATCAGGGCTCTAAAATCCTTTTGCTTTTAATAATCTCAAGTGTCAATAGAAAAATTGTTAAAAACTTAATTTCATTACCTATGTATTTTTAGTCCTTTAAAAGTAATATCTGAACAGCTTTGATGGCTTCCCACCTCTGGTAAAGTCCTGTGGCCTGTGTTATTTAGGAAGTCAGACTAGATGATCATAATGGTCCCTGCTTGCTTTATAGTCTATGGATCTCCATTTATGCAATTAACTCTCACATGTTCCCTTTGACGTGTTAATCTGGGCATCTGGTACCTTCAGACACCAAGCAGTTTAACAGTAACATAAGTAAAATTGACAATCAGGTGGTAGAAACCTACATATTTACTACAAGGGGAACAGTGCTGCAGGTTTTACTCCTATAGTTTTGCCAGAGTCATAGCTGCAGAACTGGGCATTTACAGCTATTACAAAAGAATTATATAGTCTAAATTAGAAATCCCAAATGTTAAATCATCACTATTTAATATCTGTTGACCAGTGACTCTGCACTGCATTCTGTATAGTATACAGTTGAGAGATGGAGTCAAATTCTTTATGGAATTAACTGTGTTGGTTTCAGTGAAGTTACGCAAGCAGAGAGTTTGGCCCATTGACGATACCCCAATGAGTTTATAATCTAGATCAGTGGTCCCAAAACTTTTCAGGGTCATGCCCCGCTTTACCCCAGATGCTGCAGTAAAAAGTGCCACTGAAAGCATGCAAATAAATAAAACAAGTCAGCTTTCAAAGGGGGTGAGAAAAGAATCCTACAGTGTGGGGCTCATTGGAGTGAAAGGGTGATTGTCTGCCCCCTTCAGATGAGTGGCAGGGCCATGGCCCACCCATGTAGCACCAGGCCCAGCCTGATCTGAGCATGAGAGGGGGCAGCTCTGCCAGCTCCTGGAGCGATGGAAGCAGCGAGAGGCTCTGCCAGTGTGGAGCAGAGGCTAGCAAAAGTGGGAGAGAGGTGACTCTTCCCACTGCCTTCAGGAGAAAAGGAGACTGCTCCTTGGCACTTAAGGGAGAAAGGGCAGGAGATGGCTTCTCCCCAGGCGCAGTGGGCTCTCTCTGGATTGGCCCTGGTGGACAGTGGTGGGCGGTTATTGAACCGGGGCAGAGTATCCCTGTCAGCAGGAACCGGGGCAGGGGTGCTACTACAGCAGGTCCAGGCTCATCCACCTTCCTGGAGAACAGAAGCTGAATGTTGGCAGGGAGGTGTGTGAGAGATGTGCCGTGGTGGCAGTGCAAGACTCACTGCTCTGGCGCATGTTCTCCCAGCAGCAGCTGGGCGAGCTGCCCCAGGACAGCCAAGGCTGCTTCTTCCACAACTGCAATGGTTTCCTCTTCTGCTATATCCTGGACTATATGCAGGACCTGCTGCTGATGCTACCCCAGCACTTTCCTGAGTGCAGCCACCTGCAAGGGGAGGCCAAGTACTTCCAGCTGCCCGAGATGGCACGCCCTCTGGCACAGAGCCAGGGCCAACTGAACGGAGATTCACCCTGCACCGCAATGGCTCCCTCTGCACTGAACAGCCCTTGCCCCTGCTTAGAGATCTGGAGCCATCTGAAGGTGGGGGCACTGCCTCAGCCCCACCCCCTACCTCCAGCGACATACACAAAAACCTGCCCTGCCCCCTTATGCAGGAGAAGGGAAGTTCCATCTCCACCCCCCCCCTCACTTGCCCCAGGGCCAGGTCATTGCCCATCCACCATAAGTTGGGGCACATCCAATTTTTCACTCCTAGCTGTATCACCACCTCAGACAGCGTGGTGGCAGCCTGAAACAGCCAGAGGAATGCAAGTGCAGATATAAGACTCAAGAAACAGTTCTCAGAGGTAGCCAGAGATAACCCTATTAAATTGACACAGAAGCATGGGGAGGGTGATCCAAAGATGGAGTCACCACAAAGCAGCGTAGAGTTGCTGTTTCTTACTGACATGTTCATTTGTGTATATTAAATACTTGGAGCTTATTGCATGAAGTTCATTCTTTCATCACTCAGGGCCAATCCTCATTTCATTGTAAACTGTAAACTGACAATAATAATAATTATTATTATTAATACCTAGCACTGGTATAGGGCTATTCATTCATAGATCTCACAGCACTTTACAAAGGAGGTCAGTGTCGTTATGTAGTTTCATTGTCTTCAATGGAGCTGTGTTGATTTACATCAGGTGAGGATCTGGCCCTTGGTGTTTTCTTGTGACTTGGCTGCTGAACTCTGTCAGATATCAGGGGCTGGGTAGTTTGGGGTACTGTTTGGCCCTGGAGAATAAGTAGCTAGTCTGTGATATTTTTTTCTGTAGCATCAACAGCTAACAAAAGCATTTGTCACTGAGGTCTTGAAGAAATATATAGCACAGGTGTCATATCAAAAAAACCAAAAGCCCCTTCCTGCACCCCAAACACCTCATTCCCAGCCCCACTCCAGAGCCTGCACTGCCAGGCCAGAGTCCTGACCCACTCCTGCACCCCAACCCCCTGCCCCAGCCCTGAGCCACCCCCCCCCCCACAACTGGGAGCCCCTTCCTACACCCCAAACCCCTCATCAGTGGCCCAGGCCTGGAGTCCTGACCTGCTCTGGCACCCCAACACCCTGCCCAGAGCCCCCTCCCACACCCTGAACCCCCTCAGTCCCAGCCCCACCCTGCAGCCCTCACACCCATGCCCCAGCCCCTCCTAGACTCCAAACCCCTCATCCCCAGCTCCGTTGGGTCACTGGCATCAAAAAATTTCTTCAAGTTGGTTGTCAGAAAAAAGTTTGGAAACCACTGGCCTAGTTGACAGATCACTGGACTAAGACACTGTAGACTTGTGATCTATTCCCAGCTCTGCCACTGGCCTGCTAGGGGACTTTGGGCAAGTCGCTTCACCGCCCCATGACTCAGTTTTCCCATCAGTAAAATGGGGATAATGATACTGACCTACTGAGATCTATGGATGAAAAGTAACATATAAGAGCTTAGTATTATTCCACTCTTTAATGCATACAATCAAACAGACATTCCAGATGCACAGGGGCATTCCCAAAGAAGTGTGGTGCTGGATGGGGGAAGTGGAGATATAAGCAAGCCTATTTGGATAAAATAAGTAACAACCCAATCAACCTTCACCCTTAGATCAAAACAAAAAAACTGGTTTGTGGTTACATAAAGTCTGGTTAGTTTTTCTGTTTCTTCACTATTGTTAAGTCTTATATAGCTCCTGTTTTGAGGTCCAGCCAAGGCTAGAAGAGCAAGCTCTGATATACCATGAAACAAGCTGTTCACACAGTATTTCCGGTTCAGTAGGAAGCACTCCTGAAAAAGTCTGTTTTTTGTCAGACTCTGAGCCCTACTTTTGCCCAGGCAAAGCATTTTGAAAGTCCCTAAAGGGCCAGAAGGGCATTCAGATCTTTGTGTGCCAATCTAGAACAAGACTTTTGAGGTTTGACCATCACTAGCAGCAAGTTGACACCTATTGTTGCTTAGGCAAGACACCTTGGTACTCCTGTGAATGCTGCCTCAAACTTTCCCTAGAACTTTCATCAAACAAAGTGCATCCCAGACACATTTCATAGCTATGTTCCATGAAAACTTAGCAGGAAGCAAAATTCTCTGTGGCCATAAACTAGTGGTTTAACTTTGTTTGTGCCTCAATTACCCCTCTGTAAAATGGGGATGATAATACTGAACATTATCTCAGAGGGGTGTTCTGAGTCTTAATTTGTTTGTGAAAATGCTTTGAGATGCTGGGACAAAAGATGCTATAACACTACAAGGTTTTCATATCATCATCACTATCCATGTCATAAGCTTCACATGTGTACATTCTCCAGATCACTGGGACCAAATTCCAGACTTTGCATTGGAGTTTTCTTCTCTCTGAGCTAGGGCCGCTGGACAGTGTTCTCATTGGGAGCATTGCAGGAGGTGCAGTTGTCTTTATCATCTTTTTGGCGCTGCTGATTTACTGTATCAGGAAGAAGAGAGCAGAAAGATATGAAGAACAGAGTAAGCACCTGAAATTTTCACGTTGTTGTCTGACCACTTAAGATCTAGTTTTCCACAAACTGCTCAGAGATAGGTTTCAGAGTAACAGCCGTGTTAGTCTGTATTCGCAAAAAGAAAAGGAGGACTTGTGGCACCTTAGAGACTAACCAATTTATTTGAGCATAAGCTTTCATGAACTACAGCATCCGATGAAGTGAGCTGTAGCTCACGAAAGCTTATGCTCAAATAAATTGGTTAGTCTCTAAGGTGCCACAAGTACTCCTTTTCTTTTTGCTCAGAGATAGAGAGAGAGAAAGAACTGAATTTTGTCACACTGAAATTCTACACCTCAACTGGCAGTTTTAATCTTGGTTACTGATGGTTGTTTTTAACAAGACAGTGCTATTTTCAAGGACTATTATTTACCAGTGAGGGGAGAACAGACCATCCAAAAGCTTGTCTCAGAGAAGCATCCATGATTATTTGAACATCCTTCATCTACATGTAAGCTTGAGACTCTCACCAACACACTTTCTCATTATATATATAGTTAAATAAATAAAGGCAACCAACATCACCAATTGCATTTGAAATGTAGGTATGCCTAGAGAGTGATTTCGGGTGCTTCTATTTTTTTGGATATGCAGCCTGAGACACTGTAAACAGAACAGATTTTCAGAAAGTACAGAGCATAAGAGAGGTTTTGTTGTTATTTATTTATCCTCTAAAAATCAGGCCCCGTTAAAATGTCTCAACTTGGGCACCTGAACATAGAGGTATGCAAAAATCACTAGTAATTTTTGAAAATTTAGACTGAGTTTTAGTTTTGGTGGTCACAGAAAAAGAAAAGGTATGTAATGAGATAAATCTAATTCAAGAATACAACAGAGGTATTGGCTATAAATAATTAACAATGAAAACATCATTACAGGAAAATCATATTATTAGGGTGAACAGGGTTTAACTAAGTCCTACATGTTCATGAGATATTTTCCTGGTGTGACTGGCTTGACCAGCAACAGGGAGGACCATAAATCTCTCCGTAGCCTTTCCTTGGTATATATCCAGTCCGACCTTGCAGACCTGAGAGGTTTGGACAGTTCAGCAACTGAACCAAACCCAAACTCCAGGCCTGTTAGGCTTGTCTTCACGAGAAAACTAAGACATGTTAGAACATGACCTTGAGGAGTCATGAACATAAGAACGGCCATACTGGGTCAGACCAATGGTCCATCTAGCCGAATATTTTGTCTTCCGACAGTGGCCAATGCCAGGTGCTTGAGGGGAAATGAACAGAATAAGCAATCAAGTGATCCCCCCAGAATAAGCAATCAAGTGCCCTCTCCCTGCGTCTGGCAAACAGTTTGTTTTAGTTACCATGTTTCATTAACTTTGTGCCCTAGCAGTGAGTGTAGACAGGGACTGTTGTCTTTAACATCTTGCCAGCTGTTCATGGGTAACCTTACTGAAAGCAAAGATTTACCCATGATCCATTGACACAATGTTAAAACTGACTTGTCCTTGTCCTCACTGAATGTTAAGGTGCATTTAATTCTGTTAATTACCATCAAAGTAATTAGGTCCTTTAGAATGGTTCAATAGGAGTTTAGGATCAGTTCAGTATCTGAGCCAGTGGGTCACTCAGTCCCTAAATCAAATCATACATGGTCACTGGCCTTTCAGAAATGGTAATAAAGTGGCCAAAGACCATTAGTCTGCTTCATCTATGTGAAGTACATTTAGTATGGGTAAAAAGTACAAGACTGATTGCCCTTGTGTGCGGAGTCCTCTATTTGCCTGCAAAGGAATTGCATGGACAGCAGCAGGGCAAACTTCTTTTACGCTGCCCCCTGCTGATGTGTCTCAACCTGGTCTTCAAGGGGTCACTTCCAAAGATGAGAGAGGAATTCAGTCTCCTTGGCTTATTTCCTACTTGCTGGTAAGCTGTTGTAGCTGTCCAGCAGAGCAGGCTCACTGAGATAGAGTATTTCAGTCAGTTCCATACCCTCCTAGGAGCACTGTGACCCCTACCAGCCAACAGACGGGCCATAGAAGTAGTAGATGGCAAATTCAGGTTTTATTATTTCATTGAAATAAACAGGGTCCCCAACACCATACCACTTAAACCATGCAAGTATTTGACTGCTTGCCAGTGTCCAAACCTTCTTCCCTAGGTAGTAGTTGTTCACCATAAATAACAATACCACATTCCTTTTTGACTAATTTTTTTCTTATTGTCCTTCTGTTTATTTCCAAAATATCCAGATAACTAAAAGGCACTAGCTTCTGCATGATACCTCTGCTTTCTCAATCTCCAGTTCATGCTCCCCAGAAGTAGCTACGTCAGCAGCAGAGACCGCCTGCACAGTCTCAAACTGAGTACCGGGCAGTGCCCCCCTGGCCCAGGCCACGTTTCCAAGGCTGAAGTTTCCAAGCCACATGAAAGAGAGAGACCGTAAGCATTTATCTTGGAGGAACAGAACCTGTCCTATTACCTGCTCTGGTAGGACCCACCACAAAAATAACCTTGCAAATAGCCAGCAATCCTCCAGACTGGCTGCTTTTGTTATGGAAGATCATGATCTATACTGAATGAGTGATGAAAAGGCTCGTCAATGGAGACACGAGGAGATCAAAGATCATTACCTTGGCCATTTTCTCCAAGTGGCTCTATGCTAATGTGGGGCATTTAGTCCTGAAATCTGCTTCCTTTTTGCTTCATTTGGTTGTACCTCTCCTTGCCATTTTCTGGTCTAACTTTTTTTTGACTTTCATCACGTCTCTCTCTTTCTTCCTATAACTGCAGTCCCACACAAACTCGCCTCTAGTTGTTGCAGCCAGTCATTTGATCTTATAGAGAGGAAAATAGTTGTGTTAATTGTAATGATGGGCTAACATATTGGAGTGCTGCCAAGAAACTACAACTTTATTTCTTGGCTAGTGACATGACCTGGTTCAGGGTTCAGATATGCTTGTCACATGCCAGAAACCAGTATCCATTTGCGTGTGAGATTCCTGTAACACAGTAATACATACTACCAACCAAAACCCAAGCAGACTAATTAATAACTAATTTCTCTGAACCTTGTTGGCTCTCTCATCCAGAGATGAAAGTGGGCTGGTACGGCGGACTGGTAAGTGGCCATTGGCACCGGGGAGTGCTTTAACGTCACTGACCCTTTTGCCCGCCCCTCCACCCCGAGTGCTGATGGGGGGTGGGAAGGAGGGGCAGCTGCTCCAGGGCCTGGCGATTTAAAAAGGGCCTGGAGCTCCCGGCCTCCGCTACCGTGGCCGCGGCCAGAGCCCCGGGCAGCATGAACGGGCTGGCTGGGGGAGGCTGACCCCGAGGCCCCGCCCCTTGTGGGGGCCCAGAGTCAGGCCCTCGTACCGGTAAGTCTCATCTTACTTTCACCCCGCCCTTCTCCCATGGGCACTTCATGAGAATTACTTTAGATCTCTGGCTGTGGTATTCTCCATAATCACTATATGGAGTGACTTTATTCCCGTCTAACTGCACCTGAGGCTGTCACATCAAGACTTTAGTCGAACTTGTATGTCTAGGGCCCAGTTAATGCCTTAGTTACACCCCAGACGTAGTGTGGACCATTGTACTGGGATGCAGAAGACCTAGGTTCCTATTTCTGGGTCAGCCACTGTCCTGCAGTTTTCTTTCCTATCCTTTGTTGATCTTCTCTATTTAGATTGTAAATATTTGTGGTCTCTTGTTAAGTGTTTGTTCAGTGCCCACCATAGTGGGATCTCTAGGTGCTACATGTAATCATTTAAAAAAAAAAGAAAAGAAAAATGAACCACCCCCCACAAACCTATGCAACCCCAGCAAAGTCAATGGGGAAGCACGGAGATAACTAAGGGAAGAATATTTCCCAAAGGATCATTTGGCTTCAGTTGTAAGACTAAGTTTAGCATAAACCATCCAAAAGACTATGCTAGCTCTATTCTCCAATGTAACTGACAAACTTACGTACAGTATCTACGATCTGCTAAAGTACTGTTTTCAGAAAAATGCTGTGGAACTGACCAAAGATTCACCAGTGCGGCACCTTCTGCTGGTCATCTGGGAATTAGCTCAACTCCAGCTCCGGAGCACCCTCCAATGGCTCACCTGCCTCAGGCCCTGTGTTTCTTCCCGACCCAGTGCCCCTTTCCCTTGGGGTTCTGTCCACCACAGTACCCCCAACACTCTGGGTCTCCCCACCCAGGGGAATCCCCAATCCTCTATACCGACCTTGCCTCAGTGGCTACTGCCAGTCATCATCTAGCCCCCTTTCCCTGGGGCAGACTGCAGTCTGTAATGGCCACTCAACACTGGCAAGGGGCTAGGACCAGCTGCCTTTGCCTATCCCCAGGCTACACCTGTGTAGCCCCAATACCTCTTTGGGCCTTGAACAAAGCCACAGCCTGGGCAGTTGCCAGGCTGGAGCACCCCAGCTCTGCTCTGCTTCAGGTACCCTGTGCTCCCAGGCAGCTAGGCCCTTCTCCCACCAAGCTAGAGAGAGTGTCTGACCCAGCTCCTCCCTCAGCTCTTTTATCAGGGCCAGCTGTGGCCTGACTGGTGTGGGCCCAGCTGTGGCTGCCTCCCCAATCAGCCTACCTTTACTGCTTTTAACCCGTGTTCTCCAGGAGTGGGGCAGCCGCATCACTACATGCCTGAAAAAGAAATAACTTTACCAAATTCCATAATTTTCCTATCCCACAAGCCTCATTAGATTTGCTTAGTTGATACGTCAAAAGATTTTTTTAAAAAAAATTCTAATCAATCGGCCTGCAAAATCAACTAAATACCTGAAAGTCAAGTTAGGATCTTTTTGGTTCATGCATGTCACCACAAAGAGTGACTGCACTTTGAATGTGTTGATTATATGTGAGTCAGAAGGGAAATCGGTGATCAGTACCATTGTTATATTAACTCTGCATTACTCACAGTAGTAGAAATTGTATGGAGAGCTGACATGTCATAGAGGGTCAAATTATTCCCCTGGATGCACACGTTCTTAAATTTGCAAGGGTATCCAAGGAAAGCTGATGGCCCACAGTTAGGAAATACATCGATATTGAGGGTGTGCCAATTTTATGTACAGCCAAGTCACTTCTCATATCCACAGTTTAAAATTAGTATGTAGAATCTATATAGTGTAGATTGAATGTGAATGATTGCAAAGAAGTCCCTTCAGTTTAGATATGCATTAAGCAGAAAACATGCAAATGCTCAAAACACACTTTTCACTACACTCAATAGCCAATAGGAAAGTGAGAAAACTAAAGAGCAAAGAGAAAAAAAGCGGGCTTTGGACAAACATTTTGCAAAATTGATTTTGTATTTTGCCTATATTTTACCAATATACCATGGTTTTGCTAATTTCACCAAATCCTGCAGTCCTTTATCTGGGGTATTCTGCTCTCGTTGAAGATTGTGTATGTTTTGCACAAGAAGAACTGAAAGAGAACTTGTAGGATTTGGCCAGGGTAGAGCTGCAATTTACACACTAGTTAAACTATAATATTCCTTAATCTTTATCTTTCGACAATGTAATTACTGCAAATGAAGAGCTGGAAGGATAAAAATTGATGCATGCCAGGTACGCAAAATCCATTTCTGGTAACCTCAATTTTAAGTCCATATGCCGAATAATGTGACTATTTTTCTTTCAGCTGATGACAAAGCCTTAATCACAACTCAACCAGGACAATCCAAAACGTTGTTGAACAAACAGATTAAACCTTTTTTAAAAAGGAAATACTTAGGCTATGGGTTTAATTAAATATCCTTTCAAATGGAAAGGTTCTTCATTACACTGTTCTCTCTTTCAATCAATTTTAAAATGATTTTGAGGGGAGATATGTAATAATCATCCAAAATCTAGACCCAGAGCGTAGAGCAGTTGCTCAGCTACTTTGAAGCTGCGACAGCAGCCTCCCCATACTGATAGCACAGCTATGATTTACTGTATGCACACTACCTGTCAGGGGCAGGAGAAGTTGACCAAGGGAGCCACGTCGGGCTCCAATCCTACAAACGCTTAAGCACATATGTAACATTACTCACCTGAACAAAGTTACATACATGCTTAAGAATTCCCAGGATTGCGGTCCTTATTTTCAGACTTATCTAGCCTCAGCTATTTGTAGAAATCCTGACCCCAAACCCTCCTACAGAAAGAGCCACCACAGAGCCTCAGTGTAGCCTACTATTCCCTACCTCATGTTGCAAAAAAATGATGATTTCATTGTTAGCATGTATATTGTCAGAATTTGCCCCTGACTATGAAGTGCATTGCAGCCTTGAACACTGAAAAACAAAAGGAAAACAAACAAGCCACAACACTGAGCTACTCCTCAATGGACCTGGATGTGATCTCTGAAGAAAAAAAGTGTAGGATATCGAGGATATCATCTACACAATGCATATCCCGTGTAGATACAGGATCGTTAAATCTACAGACTCCGCTGCCGGTCTCAATTGGCCCTGTGGCATAGAGCTTTTGGAAAATAAACCTCTCTTTTCTATGTTTGTAGGTTTAGTTGCACTATGTTGCTATGTTCCTAATCTCTGGTTAATATTGTTTGCTAAGTGCTTAAAAAAAACCCAAAAAAACAAAAACTCACAACTTTAAGAGCTACTACAAAACCCCCAAATATAAATAAAATCAATTTTACTCAAAGCCCATTAGCATGCTTCTTAATATCAGTATTATATCTGGGACAGTGATTTCCGTGAACTACATCTTCCTATGCCAGAGGCTCTCTGTACACATCATACCACTTTTTTTTAAAGTAGTAAGATGGAGTGTAAGCTTAGGAGTTTGGGAATTTTTACCCTGAAAGCAAGTAATACTCAAGTTTTTTTAAATGTATATGATGATCTTAAATTAACTGGGATCCCTGGCATAACAGAATTCTCTTGTTTAGGTGTGAGAAAAAGTATTCTATATCCATCTGATGACAAACAAAAGTAAGTTTTTAGTCATAAGTATGGAATTTCATAACCTCATATTTATCGATGATGGAATGTAATTTTCTATAGGAAAGATAACTTATTAGCTTCAGTTTGTAGGACATTTGGGGTTTGACACGTATTAGAGTGCTGAAAGCATTTTGAAGTCACTAAAACTAAGATAACCATCTACTATTCCATTATTGCTCCTAGATAACAGGTTCTCTATGATAATAAAAATAGAAAGAAGAGTCTTCATAGCTTTTGTTGTTTAGAATCATAAGCTGTGAAACTCTGAAGGAAAGCAAGAACATCTGCTGTCAGCATTACTCACTTTTTTCCATGGCTGTGTCCTTGTGGAATCTAAACAGTTGGTCAACAAGAATAAAAAAAAATATACAACTATGTACATGATTTATTATTTCCCCCTCCCAAAAAAGAAATGTTACAGTTTTAGATTGGGTATATTATCTCTCTTGCAGTTTTATGCAATCATTTCTTCAAAAGAGTTTGTCCTTTGAGAAAATGTTTGCTATATTGCTATTGCAATCCCTTGAAAGCTCAAATTGTAAAACTGTTTCTTTGCCAAAATGAAACCAAAAACGTATTGTGTTTTTTATTGTCATATTCATTAGCAGGATCTAATGACAGATGAATGAACTTTCTGATATTTTAAATTTAGATTTAGCATTTGGGAAATTTTATTTCAGTGAATATAAATAATGTACATTTTTCAAAGGAGATCAAGGGAAAAGGAATACAAACATCCACTTTCAAACACCATGAACAGACTACTTTCAGTCTGAAGCACTGTGCCTTGTACTAAAGCCCCAATCTTGTAAACTCATTGAGCACATGCACAACTTCATTCTTGTTAATAGTCCCACTGGGTGGGATCCTTGTCCCATTCAAGTCAATGGGAAGTTTACCATTGACTTCAGGGAGGCCAAGATTTAATCCATTGATTTTACAGGCATTACTTATGAGGGTAAAGTTATGCACATATAAGTGTGCTTTCATGATTGGGACCTCAGTCAGGATGGGTGATAATCTACTCAATTATTCCGTCCAAAAACACAGTCATTCCTCAGAGATTATATGTGAGCCAATGGCAGCAGTTTGTCTCTACTTAATCGCAGCAGAACCATCCTGGGTATTACCTTATTTACAGAAAATGCAGAATTAGTAATATATTCAATATAAGCAAAATATTTTATATGTCTTACATTTCAATTCTTTCTTTTCAGTGTCAAATAAAAAATGAAAAGGTTTGGTGTGTAATAGATACACTGTTGTTATTCATAACCTTTTATCTAAATAAAACCATTTGGGGCCTTGTATAAAGAAGGTTGTGTGCTGTAAATCTAAATTTGTTCTTTTTATTATCTTAAAACAGATGTCACGGTAAATTGGTTTCAGTCTGTTACAATATAAGTCAGACACTTACAAATATATAACCTGTTATAGCTAAGGATGTGGAAAGGAGTTCCTATCCCATTCAATAATTCTCCCAGGAGTCCAACACATCCCAGATCAAACCTTTTGAGGTATAAAAAGAGTTGGTTAATATTTCTTTCTACTTCTCTTTTTTCCCCTGTGCCTCTATACTTCTGGATTCTGGCTCAGACTGAAATTGCAGATATTGACATACAAGTTTTGAAATATCAGAAATGTATTTTAATGTATTTCAGGCCCTCCTAGAAATATGAAATACCTTAAATCTGACCCAAAAAAGTCTAGTCTATTGTTTTATTCAGTCAAGTTTTGCAAACTTGAGAGTTTCAAAGAGTTTGGATAAAGTTCAGATCAGAATTTCAACACTTTGGTGCCTGTCCAGTCTGAACCACTCAACCTTGGTCCATTATTATTTTAAATCATCTTTCCAAAGAGCTGGAAACAGCAACAAGCCTCTATCGCTCAGAAGTCATTCCTTCCATGTAATGTCTCTGAGCGTACAGATACTTCAACTTTATGATGTCATTAACCCTGTAGTTTCTAGTATCTGTCAAATACCATGCAGATCAAGTTTTTGCAGACCAACAAGATAAAATCTCATCACTATCAACACCGTTTATAGTGCTCAAAGTCAGTTCTGACAATGTGATAATGAAGTAAAATAGGTTTTGGTATTTTTCTAATTTTACTCTACCTGCCCCTGAATGTTTTACTTTCACTGCCTATTAATGTCAACTCATACTAGGAGATAACTGACTTGGTTAATGAGATTATGGTCACACAAGTGCCTGAAAAACTGTGACATTATTACCACGCATATCAGATGTGCATGTTCTGAAAAACAGCTGTTTAATTTCTAACAAGAAATTACTTTTTACTGCTGTCAGCACTACAGAGTCCATAGAACTGTGGAAAAATGAGTTGCCTTCTATTTGTTCATGCAATAAAGTTGCCAGTCACGTTCTTTTTATTTTAGAATCTGTTTACACAAGAACTTCAGCTCAAGCTAAATTCTGTTGGGATAGATGTAAAGGGAAGATGGAAATTGCTCAGTTGTAGGGCAATCCCACATAAAGTTAAGCCAGTATAGAAAGGTCTATACTATTCAAACCCATACTATACCATACTCATACTATACCCCCTACCCTTTCATGGAAAGCATTCTGAGGGAAGCAAAGGGCATGGCTAGAATGTCATGTGCTCCACTCATCTTGGATCATCAGAATGTTCTCTATGCTCACTGAAACACTTTCCTACATCACAGCAACACAGAGTCTGTTTCCTGGATTAGATGTGGTGCAAGGGACACCCGGACCTTGTGTTTCTAGGGGTATTTACAGGGACATACCGGTACAGATGTAAAATACACATATCCAATATACAGATTTTGTATACAGATACTTGAAGTATTATTCACCAAAGAATATATAGGCATTTGGTGCAAGATTTTTATCTACTGACAGTTATACAAGTAGTGGGAATAGACTTTGTATAAACAGATGAGTACATAAGCATTCGTTGCAGAATTCCAAAATTTTAATAGTTCACACATAGATGTGCAAGATAGAAACAACCACAGCTTGGTTTCAAATATTAGTTTGTGCTTGCCGTTCTGTCAATTAATGCAAAATCAATATGATTTGCCAACTAAATCAACATAAATTATTTAATCCACACGGAGGCGACATACAAATCTATATCTAAAAAGACAATGACAATTCAAACAACAGGTATAAAAACGTTTACTACCATAACTTCCATCTTTACATTTTGTACCAGATACTGTTCTCCTGGCCTTTTACCTCCCAGCTGCCCCCTTCTGTTCAAACACAGTTTAGAAATATTCTATATAGTGATTGACTTTAAATTCATACTCCATATCAAGAATTTCTCTACAATAATAGTCTTAGACCAACTATTCTAGCAAGTTCTATTCTCTCTGTCTTTTTGATAGATGTGATGGATTTTTAAGCATTTTTATCAAAAAGAAATTGAGGAAAAGGCTGTATACTTTTCGGTTTTACTGCCTGTCAGGGTTCCCTCCTGACTCTGAACTCTAGGGTACAGACGTGGGGCTCCGCATGAAAGACCCCCTAAGCTTATTTCTACCAGTTTATGTTAAAAACTTTTGTGCCTCTGGCCAGGCGGGATTTTATAGCACTGTATACAGGAAGGTTGTTACCATTCCCTTTATATTTATGACATTGCCACTGAACTACTTCTCTGAATACATAAAAGGCATCTTAGTATTGGCCCATAACTTGCGGTGAAAGTCTTTAATATGCTGAAAGAAGGGGATGCATGCACACAGATGCTTTCCTCCCCCTTGCCCCAAATGAGTACAACAATCTTGTTGCTTGTATTGATGCTCTTGGGAAGCAATTATTACTGCAGAAAGCAATCCTCACTGGAGACCCTGTGTGACTTTTGTTAGAACATTAGCAACACTGCAGGCTGTAATTAGTTTTATTGACTCTCCAGTCTTTCTTCAGTCATATTTTTACATTACTACAAGCCCACTCTATGTGGATACGGCTCCCTCTTTCACAACAACGTTTCTTCTAGCACCCGTCTGCACCAGTATTAAAAGTGTATGCAAGTTGAACCAGAGAGACGCCACTACTAAAAGAATTGTAATGCAGTTTTTATTCATAATGTTATAAACTGAGTAGGTTCATCTCTTGCTCCATTGCTGTGGCTAGTCTTATACACAACATCTCAATTCCATCTTTCATGAACTTAGTTTGGGTTTTTTTTGTATGATCTACAAGCTAATATATATAAATACACAGAGTTTAATTTTCTCTAATGTCATTTTAATTAAATCAATGGCCTGACCATAAGCATATTTAATGGGATTTCTCAGTGATAACAAGAATCAAAATAAATTATTTTGCCTTTTAATGTGTATTTCCAGTAGGGATTTTATCACTGAAAGCTATATTAAGATGCTACCAGTTATATTTAAAACACTAATGTTCCCCCTCACTTTCCATCTGACCTTCTGTTTTGATGTTGCATGATGCACTAAAGATAAGTCGGTTACACCATAATCATTTCCATGGCAATAGATGTTATAATAATAAACACTGGACTAAAAATTCAGCTACCAGCCTGACCCAGGAAGCTGTGAAAAGTGCTATTTAAGAACAATATCTTTAATTATAAAGAGCACAGAATTAAGTATTAATACAGCTATTAAAAAGAACCTCAAAACAAAAATTGTTATCCTAATATAAAGTCACCTCAGAAAAAAATGATATGATTCTGGCAAACTGGCTTCCAAATTGGAAGTGACAATGTATTCCCATAAATTTGGAACATTTTTGCTAATCCTTGGCAATAATGGAGAATATTTGACCTTCTGAGCCAGCGGGCTGACAGAAAATTGCGATGTCAGAATGAAGTATTTTTGTTATGCAGATGACCTAGTTGAGAACGGTAGATTCTTTCCTGAATTTTCTAGCTGTATTTCCATAAAGGTCTTGACATCCAGACAAACTGATCTGAAATATTAATACTGTGAGATGGCAATAGGTATGTCATTAGAACGCTTGTTCATTGTTTGGATTTCCAATGACTCCTACTGATGCTTTGCATGATAGGGGTAATATACTTTCAGCTACTCATTGGAGTCTAGCTGCTGTATTGGAGGTGGTACAGCAATGATGGAGGGGAACACGGGCACTGAACCTCAAAGCTCAGTAAACTTCTTAGTATTAGAGGAAGTAGATGAAAATACAAATACATTGTTCTTCTCTCTAGTACAGCGTTACTTTACAAATGGAAACACTGAAACAGAACTAAGGGTCTTTCCAGAGGTTACTCAGAAAATCAGTCCTCTGCTTAAACTACTGAACATCACTCCCTCCTCCATCTATATGTGGTAGGTTTTTTTTGACTAATTGCCTACAAATCCAAATGTTTGAATATTTAACTGACAAACACTCTCTCATATAAAGAGAAGGAGGACTTGTGGCACCTTAGAGACTAACAAATCTATTTGAGCATAAGCTTTCGTGAGGTACAGCTCACTTCATCGGATGCATTCAGTGGAAAATACATCCGATGAAGTGAGCTGTAGCTCAGTAAAGCTTATGCTCAAATAGATTTGTTAGTCTCTAAGGTGCCACAAGTACTCCTTTTCTTTTTGCGAATACAGACTAACATGGCTGCTACTCGAAAACTCTCTCATACATTATCTCTTTATCTCTCCTCACCCTGGTTATTGTCTCAAAACTTTTGAAAGACTTTTCTTCTGCTTTTAGAAGGCACTTGCCCTCTTTCCTTTTAAAATCACTTGAGCCTTCTTTACTAGCTAAATATATAAATTATTCTAGTGCAGTGCTACTGTAACACATGCTGTTATAAATTTCAGTGGTAAGACTGAGTTCAGAAGAAAATCCCATCTTGATCAAATCTTCATCCTAACCCTGTAGAGACTAAACATATTGCTGTGGCTATATCCACTGAATATCTGCAGTAAGCAGACAGATGATTAATGTATTTATCTTCTAGCATCTGCCTGCCAGATATTTTACCATGTATAGCTCACATTAATTAAACTCATGTCTCTATGCCTTCTTAAAGCTGCAAACATAGGCCTGTTGTAATTCTTGTAAAAGGAAAAAAAATAGACTCACTTCACCCTCTCACACACTTTACTTCCCGGATGGATCAAACACCGCTATCTGTTTACAACATCCGTTCTTGACTTACTACTTTGTTGTTTCATTCTGAAACCTCTTGTATCTCTTTTTTAGAGTAGTTGATTTCCCTTTATGGAAATAATCACATTCTTTGTTCTCACTCACTGCAGAGACATAAAAACATGACATTTTTGCAAAAAGAAACATGCACA